TTCGGGCACTTGAACGAGGTCACGGGCGACCGCAACGCCAACGGGTGGGTGCGCCGCTCCTTCGCGCGGAAGATAGCTCCTGAGCGCCCTGAGTTGGGCTGCAAGCCACATGGACAAGAGGAGGGGATCCTTCTTTTCACCACCAGCTCTCACAACGGACTGCTTGGCCAGTTGAGGTCGCTTCCCTCTCGTCCCAACGGCAGGGGGGCAGACTCCCGCGATGTTCCAAAGATCAGCCTCCTCTCCACTGGCCCAGAGACGGCATCCAGGAATGAGGAGAGCCCTAGCCTTCACAAGGCCCCTACCTTGAACCGCACGATAGGCCGTCTCAACCAGCCCCGTCGCTTCAGACCAGCCCCCGGGACGGGGCTGAGGCCCCATAGGGCTAAGTCGGGCGTGTCCCTCTACAGGAGGAATCTCCAAAAATAGTCCATCAACAGATTGTCAGGGGACGACGTTCGTACCATTTTGAATATGTCGGCGTATGTTTGCATTTTTCCTCCAAAATCCGCCTGTAGGAGGAGACGCCCGATCTAACCATGGGGTGCCATCGCGAGTAAGTCGGGGGGGCGGCGAAAGGCGGGGGCCTTCAGAGAGCCCGAGGGGCCTGTGAAGTCAGGCCAAGACGGGCCCACGAGGCGAGAGGCTCGACTCCGTGGCCACTCGAACCTCCGCCGGGCAACAGCCGAGAGCATCACACACCAAACAAGAGATCGCACGTGCTGGGAGTTCCACTGGACGGGGAGCGGGCATGACTCCGAGCCGAAGCATTCACACCACCCAGGAGCCCAGCGAGACTGGTTTCCATGAGGGCCCCAGGGGAAGAGTTGAAGCCCCAGCCACAGTGACATCGCAGCTCTGGGTATCCAAAAAGGCTCCACCAATCCCGGCAATCTCCAGATTAGCTTCCGACGGTCCTCGAGCGCGGTGCAGGTAGAAGGACGCAACTGCGAGCGGAGAGCAGCCCAGCACGTGGATCATCGCAGCGACGGCACGCCCGTCTGCAATGATAAACGTGCGAAGCCTCGGAGCCAAAGGGAGCCCAGGGGCGGCCACAAGGTCGTCAAGTGCGTTCTCTGGCGCAGTGACTTCTGGGCCAAGTCCTCATCCCCTCGGAGGCGGTGCTCTGGACCTCAGCATGAGCAGGAGTGGACTTCAGGAACCTCAGAATGGTGCCCCAAGAGTTCCCGTTGATTGTGACCATTCCGAGCTGAAACTCAGAGGACCCTTGCGAGGCAGGAAGAGTCTCATGACTAGGAGGCTCCACTGGGGACAGGGGAATTCAAAGCCTCACTAGCAGCCTGAGGGGCCAACCAGGACTGGGCCTTGAGAGTGGCGGCTCTGAGCTCGTGTACAAACCTTTTTCCCTACCTAGGCTCTGCCTAGAAGGGTTCTTACTCTCTAGCTTAAAGGGGCCGGGCAGTGGAAAGCGCCCCGGGCGGTTCCCCCAGTCCCCGCCCCGCTGTTCCCCCAGTCCCCTGGGAGCTTTAGCTTTAGCTTAGCTTTAGCTTAGCTTTAGCTTAGCTTTAGCTTAGCTTTAGCTTAACTTTAGCTTAGCTTTAGCTTAGCTTCAGCTTAGCTTTATCTTAGCTTTAGCTTAGCTTTAGCTTATATTTAGTTTAGCTTTAGCTTAGCTTTAGCTAGTTTTAGCTTAGCTTTAGTTTAGCGTTGGCTTAGCTTTAGCGAAGCTTCAGCTTAGCGTTAGTTTAGCGTTAGCTTAGCTTTATCTTAGATTTAGCTTAGTTTCAGCTTAGTTTTAGCTTTAGCGTTAGCTTTAGCATAGCTTTAGCATAGCTTTAGCTTAGCTGTAGCTCAGCTGTAGCTCAGCTGTAGCTCAGCTTTAGCTTAGCTTTAGCTTAGCTTTAGCTTAGCTTTAGCTTAACTTTAGCTTAGCTTTAGCTTAGCTTTAGCTTAGCTGTAGCTTAGCTTTAGCTTAGCTTCACTGATGCTACTACTGCTGCTTTCCTAGGGGCTCCAACTCCTAGGTAGGTCGCACTGGGATAATTTACAACTACGAATGCCTGCTAACTTAGACTTAAAGCTTAATCTGGAGGCCCTAGACGCGAACAAAACGAAGACCTTAAACTGGTCACTGCGGTGAGGCTGCTCACTGCAACAGCTGAGCGGGGGGGGGGGCTCACCCGACGGCTGAAGCGGAGCGCCAGCTCGGGCGCGCGCATCACCTGCGGGTGCAGGATCTGCCTCCGGAGGTGAACTCGCTGCCGGCGAACCAGACGCGACACCGCCAGCTGACGATTGGCCTCGCCTCCACCGCCGTCAGTGGCTTGCCCGCCGTGGCTCCTTCGCATCTTGCACGCCAGACGTGCACGCTGCGCGGCATGAGCTGCCTGGGCTGCCTTGGCCTGGCCGATGGCATTCTTGAACAACTGCTTCGCCGTGTCGGTGATGCCAAGAGACACCGCGTTTGACCTCTTCTGCCTCTCCTCGGGATCCCCGGGCGACCGATCTTCCAGGACGTCGCAGTTGGTGAGTGCCGCAGTGTCGGCGGAGCCCGCGAGGAGGTCTTCCAGCTTGACCACAGAGGGCGGCGTAGACGATGCCGCAAGATTCGGTTCTTCAGTCAACTTCTGAACAGCCCCTTTGTACTCACGGTCAGCCTTCTCTCAGGACTCGCGGAGCTGTTTGACTTTGGTTGCTTGCCCCTGAGCCTCGGGCTGGAACCTGAGGAGCCTGGCCAGCTCAGTCTCCATTTGCTTCTCCAGCCTGCGTACTTGACCGCGCTGCTGCTGCACTGCCTGCTGCGGAGAGGGAGCCTGCTTCACTCGAGCCTCTGCCGACGCCAAGGACTTACCAGCTCCCGAATGTAATGAGGCACCAGCTTCGTCACCTGCTTTCTCGGGCAGCCTGGACAGCTCGTTCGCCTCCTTGCTCGTGATGTTGGGCACAGATCCCAGGCGGCATGGGAGCCAGCGTGCTGTCGGCGCCACCGCCTGCAGGCGGTGGCGGAAGCGCGGGGAGTCGTCGTCCAGCACCCTGGGGCACGGGCCGAACCAGCCTCCTTGCACATGGCCGTCCTTGCCGTGGCCGCCTTCCCGAAGCTTCCGCCTGACAGCCCGTTTTTGCCCATGCCACCCCTGCAGAAGGAACCAGGGGGCACTGAGGGAGCGGACCGGAAGCCTCAAGCCACGAGAGCGCTGCCGGCACGAGGACGAGGAAGAGGCGAAGCACAGTGCTTGCACCAACCATGAGCTGGACCATTCTTCTTGCACCCGCAGGCAGAACAAATGAACCCCCTCGACTGCTTGAACATCTTACGTTTACGTCCTCCTCCGTCTATCTGCCAGCCTCCTCCACTGTCTACATCATCGGAACAAGCCCAGGGCGCCTAAGAGAAAGACGGGTCTGGCACCATCGAAGAGGAGCAGTCGACCAGGAACATGGAGCTTCCTTTACACACGGAACGTAAGTATGAAGAACTAACTGGCGGGCAGACGCCAGTGCAGTGTGGGGGCCGCGAAATCCCCCCTGCCAGATCTCAAGTCCACCCGCTACGGACTTGATCCCAAATGGCTACGAACATCTCCTCCTCCTCCTCCTCCTCCTCCTCCTCCTCCTCCTCCTCCTCTTTCTCGTCCTCCTCCTCCTCCTACTCCTCCTACGCCTCCTCCTTCCCCCCTCCCACCACCCTCCCTCCCTCCTGTCCTTCCTCTTCTCCTCCTCCTCCTCCTCCTCCTCCTCCTCCTC